TCAGGAATTTGGTTGGTGCACATTTGTCCCCAACCAAAGGTCTCTGAATCCAACTGCACTGTCATAAAACTCACAGTGCTGTTATGGCTCCCCATCACAGATAACATGCATGTGTTGACAAGCAGACAGGTTGTGTTGTTGGTAGACAAAGAAACTTGTCGACTTAAAAGGTACAGTTATATTACCGGATTTTGCTTTTCCATGCCTCGTGGTTAATGAGGTTTTGGATAGCATTAGAGGCAGAGCACAACCGCGTTTACTTCAAATGACACATCAGCCTTACAAAGTGTACGGCTACTTTTTATCATACATGAGCAAAACACTGTCCACGCTAACCCTCACATTACTGTTGAGTTGAGAGGCAATTGGAGCTCAGTTACAGGTTTCCATCCATGGCAGAAACTAACTAAAGGCGTCGTCTAGTGACGTCGCTCCCCTAGTAACCACAGTTTGGTATGCAGTGCAGACTTTTCAGTAGACTGAACCCTCGTGGTCATTCAGTGGGCATTTTTTCAGTCCACCTCAGTATACATGGACGCTAACTTCCGGGTTGTGTGCAGTATGGTTTGGATGCAGCCTTCCAGGAAATTAGTTATATATTAACCCCCATAATGCTGTGCGAAATGTGTGCCTCCAAATCAAAACAAAGGAGTATTAAAAAAAATATATAAATAAATGAGGATGGTTGCGGCCGGTTCGGGTTCGGCGCCTTTCAAATGTTAAGTTATTAAATTGTTAAAATGCAATGTGAAGTTTTGTATTATTTACTGAGCCATCGTGCATATCACATCTGAGTTGGAGTGTCGATAACATGAGGCGGGCTAATGACGCCACTTCCACACTGAATGAATCAGACAAAGACAAATGTGTGCGCCAACTGAACAGTAGGTCCTAACAGCATAACAGTACAGAGAGAAGGGACTGTCTACTGTCAGATACAGTGGGCCTTCTGCAATTTGGATGCACACAGTATGTCTTAAAGGTGCAGTCTACGATTTCAACTTTTTTTTGTGATCATTTTGTTTTTGGGCCTTTATTAGAGACAGCTGAAGAGAGGCATGAAATGTTGAGGAGAGAGTAGTGGATGACAAGCAGCCAAGAGCTGAGGTCGGATTGGAACACACGGCTGCTGTGCTGAAGACTGTAGCCTCTGAACATTGGAGCGCACAATATAACCGCTAGGGCATCTGGCTCCTCAACAATTTAAACGGTCAAAGTCACATGGATTTATTTATGTTTGTGTGCAAGCCTGAAGCATAACTTGGGTTAGAAGACTCTCTGCACCTGGTAAAGCTGAGACATCAACGACATTGATAACAATACAGCGTAACTGTCAGGAAAGGGGGAAGGGGGGGACGCAGGTGCAGACCCGGGGTAGTCTCAAGGTTGTCCCAGAGGGATAACCACAAAAATCGCAAGCGATTAGACGGGAGAGCTGAATCAAGCGTAGAAATGAGCAAGAATAAACAAACTTCCTCGACTAAATGGTTCAATGATAGAGAGGAACTTCAACTCTGCTGCCAAGTAGCTGACATGAAACTAAATTATCTGGGAAACCCATGAAACACAAAAACACCCCACAATGGCTGCCAGGGAGGCCTTAAAGAGAACAAACCAGGCTGGTGTAAAAACTCCCCAGCACCACAGGTTACACTCTGAGAGAAAACCAGCAATAGTGAGCAAATACGCAGAAAGTTTTTGTTGGTGTTTTTGCAGCCGAGATGCACTCACTACCTCTGAAGGTGAGATAATGAGTCAGCACAGAGCACTGGAGTCCAGGAGTATATATATAAGATCCCCAAACCTGTGCTTAATCAGACCAATCAGCCCACACACACACACCTGACTGCACTGAGTGGATTCCTTCACCAACCTCAGTGAGGAGAAGCAAATGAGAGTGCACTCACACTAACGTTACGTTGTGATATGACGTCTGCAGGGACGCTTGTTGCTTTTCTCTTCTTGGCTTCATCATATCAAACAGTATCAAGCAGACTAACAGGCTGGTGCCATGGAGGTGGAACAGTTAGATATTTTTGCGTAAAAGTGCAAGAAATATTTTTACACAAAAGTTACGTTTCACAAAGAGAAAGATAAACCTTTGAAACACTTATAGGACAAACTTTATACAAACTTTAATTAAGTTGTGCACCATCTCTCCTGCTGGCTTCCCACTCCACATGCAGGTTTTCACTGGTGTGGCCACTGCACCAACAATTCCTCGGACATACGCAGGGAAAAGTTTTAAGAATAACACCTTTTGCTTTCGATTTTTTTCGACAACAAGGTTGCTAAACCTTTGGCTGACTTACTTTCACTCCTTATGTGACACAAAAGAGTGGATTGAATCTTTCATTGCACTGCAGGCAAGAAAGACAATAAGGAAAGTAATAGGAAATCATTTGGAAGTGCCACAATTATTACAATCCCTCCCTTTTCCATTTCCTTTTCCTCCTACAGGTGTCCCAGGCCCTCCAGGTTACAGTAAGATTGGACCCCCAGGACCCGTCGGCCAGCAGGGTGTTCCGGGGATCCCAGGCCCTCTGGACAGCCTGGTTCAAAAGGACACGATGGCCGCTGTAATCCTGGCGACTGTAGGAGCCATCAAGTAGAGTACAGCCCCAAGGGCCCACCTATCAAGGGCCCCTGGTAAGAGGGCTGGAGGTGATGCAGGAGAGGGGGACTGAACCAAAGGGACTACAAAGAAGACAGGAAGACCCAACGATATTAAACCTGACCACAAGATGTAATAAAGAAGCCCTTTGTTGTTGAATTGTAAAGATTAACCTACAGATTTCCTCTGCAGATGTGAGCAAAACCCCTTTTTTTATTATGCCCACTGGAATGAGGCCTGCAAAGAAGCACCAGCAGCACATTTTTTTTATTGCATCATTCTTTTTGCAACTACAAAATCATTGCTACATTACCGCCTTTGATTGTTGTCCTGCCTCTTTCCTCTCTGTGTTTCACTCCTTTTGTACATCTTCAAACAACCAAGGGGAGGTGACATGAATCACAATCTATTTTTACATCCCCTTTATTAATTCTGGCCTCTTTTCTTTCTCTAGCTTAATCTGTAGGAGGAGAACATACACAATTATTGCAGCACTTTTCCACCACTCATATCTTTTTTCCCCTCCTATCTCACTGAATCCCATTTAGGACGCATCTCATGCATTTCTGATAGACCGTTTGTGTGATGTGATATGTATGTGAATTTGGCCGCAAGAACTTCCCAAAGAAATGTTTTCCAGTTCAGTCAAAACAGATGTCCAAACTGTGCATTCAACCCTCTTTGATGGAATTGACTGTCTTGTATATATTTATATTTATATATAGTGGCTTTTTATACTTTTTCAACAGATTTCATAAAGGACTTCTGCATGGTCAGCCACTTGTTTTTCATTCTCAGTGGATAGAAAGCAACACAAAATGCCAGAGGGATACATTTTCAGATCTATAAGCTTTAAAAAAAGGAAAACTGTGTTCAGTAACAGGCAAATTATTTATGGAAAAAAAAATGTTTACCCAGGATATCATATTGGCTTTTGTAATTATGTCACTTAAGTTGATTTTTGTCTCATTTTAACTCCCGTCTTTTTTGGGGAAAAACAGCAATTCTAAAGCATTTCATCTCATTGTGTATTCCAAAGTAGCGGTTACAGCCATCTGTCTGCTTCACCAGGCATTTGTTTAAGAAGATGAGAGCAATAATTCAGCTCATTCTCCACATGTACTGCGATACAACTCACTGAGCATGTCCTCCCAACTCTCACAATCCGAAGCGAAAATATTCTGGAAAGCATCACAAAAAAAGCTTTTGTTGTGTGTCATATGAATGTATATTAAGGCTGTCTTTTTAAATATGTTTTGTATGTGGAAGTATATGGAGTTTCAAATCGCAACCACTTCTTTCATCTCTAGTTTAATCAGTAGTTTGAACTTTGACCTTTGTTTATCACAAGCCCAACCATTGGATATATTGACCTTAAGCTGAATAAAATGTGCTTTTCAAAGATGCAGTATCATTTGTTCATCATTGTCAACCTGTAATCCATCAATGAAATAATAATATAATATACAGAGTACAAGGCCAGCCATCTTTCCCCTTCTTCAGAGGAATTTGTAGTTATTTCTTTGCATTTGTGTGTAGTTGTATATGTCTCTCTGTAGTTGTTTTGCATCAGTTTGTAGTTGCAGACAGTTGATTGAGTTACAAACAGAGACGAGAGTCTGGAACTACACACAGGGAAAAGAACCGCAGGTAAAAGACTACATCTGGCTGCCCGCTGGGAGGACGACAGCCAGCCCTAATGGGTTGTGCAACATGCTAGGCCATCCAGCGCACCAATTTGTTTATTTTAATTTGTTTTTTAAGACTTTAAAATTAAGGCCACAATATTCACCATTAACTAGTTGCTTATTAGCATGCTAGTTAGTAGCATATTAGTCATTAAGCACTCTACGTGACCATAGTCCAAAGCTTATACGCTAACTAAGAGTTTGCCCTCAATAGCCTCCTAATTACTGCTTATTCATGCTTAGTTAGAAAGTTGTTGATGAATTATAATCTTAAAATGCTTTGCCCAGTATGGCCCTTGTTTAGGTAGAGGTAGCTAGTAGGCTATGCAACTAATTAGCATGCTAATAGGCAACTTGCTAATTGTGAATATGATGAATAGTTGTGTCTCTTTGTAGTTTTTTTTATCTACTTGTCTTGTTCTGTGTGGAATTTGAACTTATAATTATGTTTATTTTATTATTGTAAAGCCTTGTAAGGCATTGACGCTTTCTGGCATCTTTGGGCCCTCGTGATGAAAGACTATGACAGAAGCTGAACATGAGCATGTACCGCTTTGACAGCACGAGCAGGAGTTTAATTACATGCATAATTGAGATTTGAAATATTTTGAAGACTCGGTGAAAAGAAAGAAAAAGGAGCTGAAAAAGGTGAGTCAAACCCGAAAGATTGATATCACATGATACAGGAGAGAATACCATTGTATAAAAGATTCCTCTTTATTTGTCTGGGTTGACCTGAACAGCCAGAAAAAAAACCCCTCTTTACAGATGATTATATGAAGAACAATAAATAGCTTCTGTTGATGAGAAAAAAAATCAGTCGTAAAACTGCTGAACACCCTGTGAAAAGTTGACAGTGGCATAGGAAGCACATTCAGACTGATCCGTCTGGAAACTAAGTCGTTATATCTGTAGGAACTTTTTATTACTCACTGAATTCATTAACACAGGATTTTTTGTTGGCGCATATTGTAACCCATTCCTTTTTCTCTACATAATAATCAACACACATTTACAAAGATTTACAGCACTGCATTGTGGGAGATGGGAGTGCCCGTCTGGATATGCTGTTGCCAGGCAACAAGAAGAAGAGATAAAGCTAGTCATTAGTTTCTAAAATGAGACTTGGGTAGAAAGCAGTGATGGCGGGGGGGAATGTACACATGAGGTAAATCAGGGACTTCACTGTAGCTTACACGTGAAAACACTTCATACAGTACAGTACTGAGTGTCACTTCCAATCATTTATTGTTTTGCTTTTGTACAATTTAAAGGCATCAGGTGTGGGTTTTTTTCCGAATAGACGCAGGGCATTTAAAACTCAAAACATGTCTCAAACAAAAAAATTGCATAATGTAAAAGCATTAAAGTGACCACTTTGTAAAAGAAAAGCACCTTTTTTTCCCAACACTTTGTTCTCCTCTCAGCTCATGCATGCTTAGTGATGAAAAATAAATCAGTACCTCTCTCACTGCTGGAACAGGGCAGGGATATTTGGATGGGACTGGCACTGACATCATCCAAAAACACTATAGAGAATTCAAAATCATGTGGGTGGCTGTGAGCTGCTGTTGTCATGGTGATGTAGGGGATTAAGATCAGAGTATTGTCCCGCCAGTCAAAACTTCAGGGTTCTGGAGGTGGACGGGGGGGGGGATGTCACTTTTAATGTCCCCCGCACTTCTTGTTCTGGATGTTGTCCTACTGAGAAATGTGGTCTTTCTCCTTCTCTCTCTCTCTCTGTCCCAGGAGATTATGAGCTGGTAATGGAGTGACAGCTCCCTAAACATTGGGTCCTTTGATTGTGCCTGCCTCCTGTAGTCTCGGGGAGGTGTACGCTGATGCGGCCAGACACATCGCCGCCTCGCAGTAGCCCGGGAGACCGGTTGAACCCGCTTTACCTGGGTAACCGGCCTCTCCAGCTGCTCCCTGAGGTCCTCTCTCGCCATGGCGACCATTCCGAGCTACACCATCAACACCAGGAGGACCTGAGGGAAGTGGACATTCAGTAGTGGTTTTTACTGTAAATAAATCTCTCTGGTTTGTACAGTATTTACACTGTGTATACGTGTGCATAGAGAGAGTGTGGTTGTGTTTTCCATGTTTAAATAAGTGTGTCCTGTTGCAATTCTATTTCATTCAAGAGCATCTGTTAAATGACTAGAGTTAATGATGCTTTTATAATTCCTTTGAGCAGACGTTCCTGAGGTAAGAGCTGCAATGCCAAGTCCTTCAGTTTCTTACTGGACCCTCATTCTGATTAACCTTTGGTCAGTGTTTAATGCTGTTTAACATTCCATGTACAGTATGTGCATTAAGCGTGTGCTGTTCAATCCCATGCTTTTAAAGCCTTCCATAACAGCTCAGCTCCTACCTTGTATTCCTGGGGGTCCGGGTAGTCCAGGATGTGGTTTACCGGGATCTCCTCTGTCTCCCTTTGCTCCTCTCTTTCCTAGAAGAGAAAACAAAGAGAGGTTCAGATGAACCCTAAAAAGCTATATTTCTGAACCTTATTTACATAGCACCTTTCATCAAGAAAGTTACAAAGTTCTTCATGACAGCAGCATTGAAAAGGGAGTTCCACCACCAACACCACGATCTTTTGAGCGATTGATAGTCCTCGTTAACCATTTAGGCAGGACTCAGCCATGTTTGTAGTACCTTAAGTTTTCGGAAGTGGTATGGGAGGCAAATCGAAGCTTGATCCAAAGGCAACTGGACTCAGTAGAAGATCTTGAAGACGTTTGGATCAAGCTTAGATTTTACCATGACCTGGATGACTGAAGCCTACACAGACATATTCAGGCCCCTGTCCTGCAGAATAATCTACTTGTTAGGGTCCAGGAGGCAGATACCCTCACTACTTTCCCCAATCAGTCTGGTTCTGTTCAAGTTTTTCATATAAAAATAACAGGACTGTTTAGAGCTGGTCTACAAGTAAATCGAGATAACTTTAAAAAAGTAGAATATTTTGGAAGGATACACTACAAATGTGTAGTTATTCTATAATAAAACAGTATTATAAAGACTTAAACAGCACTAAATTTGATAAAAACCCATCCAGAGGAGTGTTTTTTTTTTTAAAGCGGCAGCCTCTGGTTTGAAAAAAATAAGCAACTAGTAAGTGCAACTCCAACTCTTTTACATTGATCGAACGTTAAATGCAGATTTAACTTTTAATGCTGCAACTTCCATCTCTCGTCTCCAAAACACCTCCTCAGAAACCAATGAGTGAGCACACTCAGATTGCGTCCATGCTTTAAACAGTCTCTTATAAATTCTTCTCAAGATGACAAAATGAGGCGTGCCTTCAATTTAAAGCACGCTTCATGCTTTACTCTATTCCTACCTTTCAGTCCTGTGTTTCCAATCTGCCCTGGCCCTCCAATCATGCCAGGAATACCACGTGCACCAGGTAAACCATGTGGCCCCTGTGGTCCAGTCGCCCCTGGAGGTCCAGGAGGCCCGGGAGGTCCCATCACACCCGCTCCACCGAGCACAGCCCGCTTGGCGCTCACTGCTACTGCTGCCAGCCTCTCTGTAACGGAAGGAAGCAGAGGCATCATATTGACTGAATTACCTTTGATAACAGGAAACTGATTGCTCAGAAGATGAAAGTAGAGAGCCAATCTAATCTCCCATATGGACATCAAAGGTGAATATTCCAGTCTAGACGCTCACCCTGCAACATCTTCAACACCACTTCAATGATATGCTGGTCTGATGCATCACGTCCCTGGAGAGGAAAAGACCAACCATCAAGAGAAGACAGTAGACGACCAAGTGAGCCAATTTATATCAGTCTACATGCATGACAAATGTGATCAACTCACAGTTACTCCCTGAATGCCTGGCATGCCGGGTACTCCTCGCTCTCCATTGAGTCCCCTAGGACCATGAAGTCCTGGTGGTCCCTGGTCTCCAGGTTTACCTGGGTCTCCAGTGGGTCCATTGTGACCGCTGTCACCCCTGATTCCTTGCTGTAAAGACAAACGCATTAAATAAGAGAGGTTTTATGGAGAGTAAACGAGAGATTGATAGGATATGATGTGAAATAGCGAACGGATAGAATAAAGGGAGGAAAGTGTTATGGATGTTTGCATAGGACACTCTCACCTGTCCTTTGGGCCCAGGCTCACCAGACAAACCCTGTCACAGCAAAAAGACAGACGAGTCATCATTTTCACTTCATCACTCCATCTATCATTTCCGCCTCGCAGGCACTCGTTGAGCAAAAATTAAAGAGTGAATTTTTGTAAATGAACGCCCAAAAATGCTGCTTCAAAGCGCCAACGTGCATCATCGCTTCACTGTCATGTAAATAGCTCACTTGCCATCTGGATTATTATGGGGATTTGTATGCAAATTCCGACGCAGACTCTTCCTACTTCTTAACTTCAGAACAGTTATGACATTTTATGCTTTATATCACTTCGCTTTGATGCCTCAGGGGCCAAATGTTTTAAACCAAAGCCTGCAAGTTCTGCTCTTGAAGAAAAAGTTTGAAACAGCTTGAGGTGGCGCAGTAATGATTTTTACCTTTTCACCTTTCTCTCCAGCCAATCCCTCAACGCCGGGGTCACCCTAAAAGCGACAGAGAGGAAGAAGATCAGAAGGGCCGAGAGAGAGATGTGACTGAAGGAAATAGTTGTTGGTAAAGAGCAAAAGCAATTTAAGATACAATTCAGACAACCGTGTTTTGAAAGGGCAACGTTGTTCTACTCACAATGTCTCCCTTTGACCCAACTTTTCCTTGGAAACCCTGGAAAGAAAGACAGGTTTAGTAAACGTGGTTAGATTTAGCATATAAAAAAAAAAATCTAAATATACATTCCAGCTGGTGACACCACGTATAACAAAGGAAGAAAGATGTTGTGTCCTCTCGGACGCTTGGATTATCATTTATATTGCTTATTTATACTGCTTGCCTCATTTAGTGACTTACTGTGTTTCATGGCTTTTATTCATAGGTAAACACTGCCCCCTATCGATAAGTCTGGAAAACTACACTATTATGAAGAATGTTTGAATAAGGGCAATGATGCTCATGTTTTATAGTGTTTTTTTTTTTTTTTTTTTACGTAAACACAATCACAAACCTTGTCTCCTTTTGTTCCACTAAGACCCTGGGCTCCTGGGACTCCAATTGGTCCTCTCTCTCCTTTGTTTCCCTGGTAAGATAAAAAAAAAAGAAATTAGGGAAAGTGTGCCTGCAGATCAGTTTATTTACCTTTATTTTATTAATTTTTCAGAGGAAAAAATACAAAAAGCAACTTACAGGTTTGCCAACTACTCCCTGTGGTCCGACTTCTCCCCGCTGTCCTCGGTCACCCTGTTGAAATCAGTTGAGGTATAAGTACGTTTGGTTTCACAGTTGAATTTATTTGGTGCTTTTATGCAACGATTCTGTATGTGTACCTTTGGTCCAGGAACTCCTTCCATACCAGCCTCACCAGGAAGACCAGGCTCACCCTTAAAGAAACCATTTCAAGTACAATTATACATCCATCCTGAAATGAAAGATTTGTAATACCTGAGAAAAGTTGTATTTTGTGTATATCTTCATGTGTTACCAAAGGTCCAGATGCACCCTGCATGCCAACATGACCCCTCGGTCCAGGCTCGCCCTGACAAAGGAAAGGGAGATGCATACAATTAAAAAGTGAAAGAAAGGACAAGAGCGAAAAAAAATATCTATGGGAAATGAAACATGATGTGATATATGAGTTGGAAAAAAGGCGTACTTTAAATCCAGGTCCACCTTTTGACCCTGGGCTGCCCGGCAATCCCTGCAGACAGACAGAAATGGCAAGGGTGAAATGAGTGTGAATCAAAGAAGCACCCGCATCAGAGTCCGAACATCCATGGTGAGATTTGATCTAAAGGCCTTTGTTAAATGTTTCTCTCTGTACCTTCCATACTCTTCAAATAAGGCAATAACTCTGAAGAAAACTCTTCAACGACACATGTAAGTTATATTCTGAAAGTTTGCTTTGTGGTTTAATTCCTGCTTGAAACACAGAGAGTGATCCTGAATATATTCGGGTCAAAATGAATGTGAATATTTGTTTGGTGAGCTGATAGTGGAATGTTGAAATGCTGATGTCTAATACAATAAAAATATGAATAAGAAAAATATTCCTTATTGCCAGCTGGAAGCTATAGGCAAACACCTTGAAACAGATTTCCTTGCAGTATGTGTTGTGTGTGTGTGTGTGTGTGTGTGTGTGTGTGTGTGTGTGTGTGTGTGTGTGTGTGTGTGTGTGTGTGTGTGTGTGTGTGTGTGTGTGTGTGTAATGTATATTGCACTAGGGTATAAAGCAGGCTAAGTTATGGTGCTTGAGTTTGCAGCAGTGTCACCGCAATGACCACACAGCAAAGTGTGCATCTCATGCTCCATTACCCTTTAGTCAGAATGACACGCACACAAATATAAGCCCCCCACCCCCCTACATACACACATAGACTCACAAACACACACAAGTATACCAACTGGTTTGATTGTGATAAATCACCCTTGGTGGGAGGGAAAATGCTATTTCAAGGTGGTTTAAATTTTAAAACAGCGTGGGTCACAGGGTCGTTCTTAACCTGGATGAGAGCCCAGAAAACAAAACACACGAAGATTTACAGACGGCTTCAGGCTGGTTTCCCTTGTCTGCGCTCTGGATTTTTTAAATTGGGGAGGAGAATAGAATGACCCCCTACGTGGTCTGAGTGGCAATACAACGGCCTTATTTGGATGTGGCTCTAGTTGCATTTAAGAACAATGCTCAAGGAAACACATTTGCCTCCACTACACTGAAGAATCACTCACAGCTGTTCCCTGAGGACCAGGAGGACCAGGCATCCCAGCTTGGCCAGGGCCGCCCTGCGGAGAAGAGAGCAGAAGAAGAATAAATTTCCATCTTTGACTGAGATGGAAGTTGTTCATCACTTTCATGGCTGGCAACCCCATACCTTGATTCCAGGAATACCAGGTGTGCCATCCTTTCCATCAATGCCCGGCAGACCCTGGGAAAGCAGGCAAATGAGTCAGCGGGCTTCATTTGGCACACTATCTGAAAACTGACACAACCGTGCAGGGCACAAACAGAAGTGCGTTCACTCACATTTTCTCCCTTTTTGCCAACTGCACCCTGTGGGCCCTGGATGCCTCGACTGCCCTGCAGAAGATAACCAAAACAGCATCAGTGTATTTGCAGCGCACAACAGGATATGTGCCCCCATGCAAGATCTAAGATATGTGTCATCTTTTTTTTTCTCTCCATTGCCACTGCTTTGACAATAAAAAAAAAAAAATACACTGGAACAGTCACCTACTTTGTCTCCCTTGTCTCCTGCCTCTCCAGGTGGTCCCTGAGGCCCTTCCTCACCCTGAAGAAAAAAAGAGAGAGGTTCAGAATATCCTAGGTGTTCTTTTGGTTCATGTATGTGTAATGAAGTCTATTTGTGTATGTGAATGTGTTTGTGCCACCTACAGGGGGCCCAGGAATTCCTACAGGTCCAGTGATGCCCTTGTAGCCACGAGGGCCCTGCAGAAGAAGAAAAAAAAATGCCATCAATCACTTCAGATCAGAGTGGATGCTAAGTCACGGTAGCTGACTATTCATTGTGATAAAGGGGTAATTAGCGCTTAACTCACTCCACTAATGGGAGCTACACAGAGAGCCAGCCACTCTTGTTTTGGCACTAAGCCGGGGCGCTAACTTGGCTAACACGGCTAATGTTAACAGTAAAGACGGATGGCTACAGTGGATCATTAACTACAGATGGAAGCACTGCAGACCTAGACAACCCCAACTCATTAGAGGAGGGGAGAGATTTGTGTTAGCATCATTTCCATATGTCCCCATTGCTGGTAATGGATGGTGTTTGTATAGTGGGGGCAGGTCTGGTTGTGCCTTCTTGGTGCTCACCTATGAATAAGAACTACCTTGTATCGAATGAAAAATAGGACATAAAAGTTAAAGTCTGACTATGAACAAAGAAAAGAAGGTAATACTCACTGCTTCTGCTTTAGGACCCATCATCCCTGGATAACCCCTCAAACCCATCGGACCCTTAAAAATGAAGGAGGCAAATACCAGGTTTAGACAGAGACAAGAAATAAAGCAAATGTTGCAACACAGTACAGTAAGCCCAAGTTTCCAGCTTTGTCATGCAACTAAAAAAAGATGAATTATCAGCATACCGGGGGTCCTGGGATACCCTGTTCCCCAGAGATGCCCACTTCTCCCTTGAGGCCCTGGTGGAGGAAACCAAATGGAACATTTTGATTAGTTATTCCCTTTATTTCTCATTAGTATAACTGCTGATTGCTCCCAAAAATTGGAACATTCAAACTCTCTTACAAAGCTTTAAGAGGTCTTGGTTTTGTCTACTTATAGGCTACAGAAGTTTGTGATGGTTTCTGCTTTATGTTTGATGTCTAAACTTGTCTGTCACTGTTGTTAAAAATGTAGCTTATGGTAGGCTACTCGGGCAGCTAAAGCTAGCTGGTTTGACAAAAAAAGAAAGAGAGAAACCAAAACTTGTTTTCAAAGGTTGTAAACTGGTATATTATTGGTATACTGCTATATATAGCTGGTAAAATATAAAGCTTAAGCTAGAAAGCCAGCAAAACTGGCCAAACAAAAATCTTTTAAATACAATTGTAGAATCTACCAACTAGGCAAACAAACATTAACATGGTTGTGATGGATGATGCACCAGTTTGAAACGCTTATAATTGTCTTGTGTTATTAATGGAATGGTTTGACTTTTGGATGAACTGCACTAGCTTTTAGCTAAAGTGTTTTGATTAGCTTAGTTTGGCAGGGAAGACCTAAGAATAACGTCTAGCGCTAACAAAGTCAAATGTACACCGAGGGCAGGCAATCTCTTCTAGGATGTTAAGTTATACCACTACATCTTGAAAGTAGATAGAGCCAGGCTAGCTATTTCCCCTTACTTCCAGTATTCATGCTAAGCTTTGCTAGCTGTCTACATGCACTGTCTGAATACTTGACAACCAGACAAGAGGGCAGTTGAATTCTACTCGTCTATCTCTCAGTATGAAAAGTATTTCACACAGAGTTAAACTTTTATTCTATGAGCAGATCAAAAAGGGCCTGCTAACCTCACCAGCTTCATGTTACATCTATCCAGGAGAAGACTAATACAACAGATTCAAGTCAAAGCTCATTCATCTACAAGTTTATTCTGGTCTAGTTTTATTTCTCATCAGGCACAGGATATGCTATGTATCTGGGGCACTCATTTATTTGGTCTTATGTTGTCAGATAGTCAGTATTAATACATCAAGTATACAAAAAGTGCTTTCGGTGTTATCCGTGTTTTCGATTCAGTTGAGTTTTTAGCAAAGAGCTGGTGGCGATGTAAACACCTCATGCTGTGTGTCTGTGAGGAAAATAAAAGAGAGAGCAATCCCACAGTGCAATCTTGAGTCAAGGCTAGTCTCTGAAAGAGCCTGCTGATCTCCCCTCTCTGGGATGAATGATAAATTGTTGCTTTGAGTGTTTTGAGTGCCTGAGATACCTGTGTGGGAGGATCAGAGGCTAATGTCTGAAGCCTGGCTAGCCGCTGTCTCGGAGCCAACTGCGTGCTCATTAGCTCTGCTTAATGCAGTGAGGTGAGAGGACTACGTGAACCCCGACTCTCTCATTCTCCCCTTCATGTACCTGACTCTTCACTGCCGCATTCATCTGGCTGGCTGCATGCTGACTGCAGGGCCGAGGCCAGGCCTGACTAATCGCAGCCAGATTAGTGCCAGTCATGTGCCTCGAGGGGCTTCATTAGAGCTAATCCTTGCCTCTGCAGGTCTTGAATGGTGGGTTCGGTGTGTGAGACTGTACAACAAATGCATGCGCACAGGTGTTTGAGTCTTTGTATTTGTTACTGGTGGGTATTTAGCAGCTCACCGTTTTTCCTATGGTGCCAGGCTCTCCGAGAACACCAGAACGTCCTTTGTGTCCCTAGAAGGCAAAAGTCAGTCGGTTGGGTGTCATAACAATTTTGCCATGTAACAAAACGAGTCGTGCTTATTCCTTTCGGGCCCTAACAGGCAGAGTCTCACCTTGACTCCCTGCAGTCCCTGTGGGCCTTTAGGTCCTGCTGGACAATTAAGAGGACACTGTTGTGGAGAGGAGGAAATATATGGGTTAGTAAAAGATACGTTGTGTCAAAACAGTTCAGTTCAGAAAGAGCATGTGAGGAAATCTTACCTGAAATTCAGCGCTGCCTTCTTCTCCACCAATGAACTTCCCTGGAGGACCCTAGATAGACAAATAGGTTAATAGAGAGAAATAAGGAAGGAAGTCACCTGGTCACAGTTGCTTTTACTCCCATAAGCTGAGCCAGCATTCTCTCTCTCTTTATCTGTTTTCTTCAATATTTCCTTCTCTCCATCTATAGATTGAGTTAGAGAGTAAAGTATCTCTTCTGGTTGTGATGTATTTCTGCTACAGTCAGATGAGACAGCCCACTGATCTAATGGGGGGTTTATTTACCCTAGGACAGCACTAAAACTAAACAAATACACTCCCCCGGGCTGGGAACATCACTCTCAATGAGGACACATCCCTGTTCTTAAAACCACTCAGTGATCCACACAAGAGAGAACATACACCATTGGACTTGAAAGCGTACAGCCGGAAACTGTTTGTGCTTTTTTTACCACTTACTTTCAGCTGGGACCTACCAGGAAGCCCTGAGCTCCAGCTGTGCTAGGTGCTTTGTTGTTGTGCTTTCCTGCTTGTTTTGCAGAACAGTCACATTTATAGCAACATAAGTAAGTTTAATGTCGTCTTTGTTTTAGCTTTACACTGTGATCTCATTCAACATATTAAATTAGATTGTTGTTTAATTACAGTATTAATGCCTAGCTTCTGGTAGTGTATAACCTCTCACTCTGTTCACAGCTGTTTTCTCAAATGTCAATTCAAAGACTGCCTTAAGATATGAAGGATTTACTTTGAAATCTATTAATGCTCACTTGTTATTTTTGTCTCAGATATTTTCTGCATAAACATGCATTACATTATGTTTAAAGCAAATCAGAAACAGTGCTGCATTGTATGTCCTCCAGGAATAAGTTACAAGTTCATTTTTAAAAGCATCTATACAGCAGAAAAAAAACATAGGTACAAAAATAGAGGACCATTTTGCTGTTAGCTTCTGTTGCTAACATCAGCTAATTGTATGAAAACTAAATTGTTTTGAGATTTTATGAACTCTCAAATAACAATGTAAAAATTGTTGCTGATCTCTAGCTACCCAGTATTTTTTGGACAACTGGCTCTTCATAATAAAACTGTATCTAGCTTTAAGGTGTCTTAAGTTGGCTGGGAAAAATAATACGGTCTAAATCTTTAAAGATAGTAAGCTTAGATAAACAGAAGTTTGAAAAGTATGTTTGGCACCTTGCAAAGATTAACATTACCATGGTGGAAGTTTGAGTTGTTGATACCACTATATCTTTCTTTAGTATTGAGTCACCACAGTTGATTAACATAACATACTTCATTCAGATCTTTGAACATTCCACACTGTGTTTGTAGTTCAAAGAGTAAAGTTTTGCTCACTGCTGGGTTAACATGTACAAACTATTTTCATGCACTAAACATATTGGACAATAATATAATATATATATATATATATATATATTGTTGTTTTACTCAAATTAAATTTATTTTCAGTAGGAGAGCTGATGTTCACTATGGCTCCTCATTCTGTATCATTCATTCCCACAACAACAATGATATACTATATAATACTTCAACCTCTTTGTTTTTAGTGTTTTCATGGGAAATTTAGGATTCATTTCGTCTTTGTTACACATGGGCAATGAAGCTGAAAGATAAAAATGACATTTCCTGGGTGGAGACTTACAGGCTTGCCAGGAGGTCCAGGAAGTCCTGAAGGTCCAGATGCTCCCAACACACCCTAAATGAAGAAGAGGTAATAAGTTATCTCTCAATAAGAAGAGTAAAATATTAATGCTCTTGTACCTGTTTTAAAATGTGTAAGTATGTTGTGAAGAGGGTATCATAAATTAAAGCTGGGTGTCCTACCTTGGGCCCATTTGGTCCAATTTCGCCTGGAAGACCAATTGGCCCTGGAGCGCCCTATACATTGACAGAAAGAGAGGAAGAAAAATGAAGGACTACACATCCCACCAGACACAAAATGATTTTCCACACCTTAAAGAAAACCATTAAGTGGTAAAGGCATTAATTGTATAACACAAACAAGCTACTTACAGCCAGTCCTGGAAGTCCGGGTCCCTGTGTGGACAGAAGGGACAAGGGGTTAAATTACTGTAAGACAAGTGGAACCAATCTGTCAAAGTATCAATTAATGAGAGCCAATTAATAACGGCAGCAGTAATTCAGTAATGCGTGTGTACAGGGTCGGAGTAAACAGTGCTCAAGAAGCACAAAGACACATAATGCAATCAGTTTGTGTTTGCTATGTCTTTTGTTGGGAGTTAATTATAAACAAAGTAATGAAGTAAGTAAGCCTTGTTGGAGGGAGAGCAGCCCACGAGGCAGGATCTCCTGTCTGTGCAGAGCGAGGCAGCTGGGTGCACGAGCAGAGCTCCCAGACAGCACGCCTCCTAATGCTAAACAAAGGATTTAACTAATAGCGCTGCATCCAAGCATGACATTGGATGACTCTGAACTTAATGCTGGAATATATTGGAGGATATCTGTTGGATGGACACTGAGCTCCACCAAGTGGATTTAGAGGGTATATGCTTTGCATTTCCTTGTGTGTCAGTCACTGCATTTAAAGATGCATGGGTACTTTACAATTAGGATAATTGTACAGATGTCCGTAAGGAAATTCCCCAAAGTGTGTACTGCAGCAATGAGGGTCATGTCAGCTGTTGGCAAGGCAGGCATTTATGTACCAATAAAACAATTCAAAGTGCTTTACAGAGTTAAAAACAAAACCTTTATGACATTAAGAACATTAAACAACATATGAGATTGGGCAAAAATAAGTCATCAATAGATAAAATACATTTAAATATAATATCATAAAGAAATAGGGAAGTACAGTATGATATAAAACAAAAATCGAATGTCCTCGAGTTTGGCAATTCATGATCTATTACAATTATTAGAGTGGGAACTCTTGACTCTAAATCTGTTTGTGTTATACTCTGTGTTTTGTGTATGTGTGTTCTTTGTTGGGACTTTTCTTTTTGGACAGTAACGGTGCTGTGAAAAAGAATTTCCCCACGGGGACAATAAAGTCTAAAGTCTAGTGCTCTGAGGTCTACAGACTACACATTCTTACTTCTTAGTCGGATACAGATTTACCTATTGGTCTTATTGAAATGGATTCTGTGAAAATGACATCCAAAAATATCTGCCCACTGATTTAGAATTTGCTTTCTCTGTGACAGCCATTGGCTGCTCCGGAAACCCCCTGCAGGGGTTCCTGTGGTGGTGCCACCAAACACCAGTCTTTACACCCTATCACTTAACCAATTGTAATTGAGATAGTCCAGACCAAACATATTGTAGGATGTATCCTTATTCGCTTATCTTGCGCTTGTTTTAAGATTTTCTAGAGATTTTTTTTCGTGTGCGCTTAAATTAACATCTCTTGTGTGATCGCTTTTATAAGAGTTAGATTGAGAATGTCTCAGCTTTTCTTGTAGCTTGACAGCAGCATTCTGGATGAGCTACAGTTTTCTGGTTTGAAAAAAACACTGTTCCAATAATTTAGCCTACTTAAAATAAAAGCATAAACATGTTTGTCTTTGTGATCTTCAGACAGAAATCCTTTGATTTTGGTATATTTTTAAGATTTTCTAAAATAAAAATTGAAAGTCATAAAAAGATCGTAATAGGAATTGTGACAACCTTAATGTGGCTGTTTAAATGTCGGTCTGAGTGCATAATTACACCAAGATTTCTGGCTTGATTTGTAGAGTTTAGTGTAATTATGTCAAAGTGAGCACTGACTTGTAACCCTTCTTCTTTAGAGCCAAGGACAAGTATTTCAGTTTTTTCTGTGTTCAGCTGTAGGAACTTCTGGCACATCAACTAATGTATTCCTTCAATACACTTATGCAGTGAGTGTAAGGGACTGTAGTCATGTGATGACACTGAAATAAACAGTTTTGTGTCATCTGCATAAACATCGTAAGGAATATCATGATATTCTAGAATCTGAGCCAGTGGCAACATGTAGATGTCAAAAAAGAATGGGCCCAAGAATGGATCCTTGGAGAACGCCACATGCTGTTTTTTACGCTCCAAATCATAATTAAGTCCCCATCATGTAAGTATGATTTTAACCAATTCAGTACAGTACCAGAAGTCCTGTCCACCATTCAAGTCAGTCGAGCAATATGTCGTGGTCAACTGAGTCAAAAGTGGCACTGAGATCAAGAAAATATAAAACTTAGACTTTTGACACGGTCCAGACCAAAAAGTATTAAAAACACTGTTTTGACCCAATAAAGTTTGAAGTAGCTGATTAACAACCTTTTCACCAATCTTTTTCAGAAAAGGTAAGTCTGATATTGTCCTATAGTTGTTTATCACTGAGGCATCCAGGTTGGACCTCGTTTAAAGTGGTTTGGAGACAACAGTCTTTAAGGTGCCTGGAAAAAAGGCCTGACTAAAGAAAACTATTGCCAATCTGTAATACATCTGGTGCATAATCAAGGAGGTGGAAATCTTCAAATTTAACAGCAGTATATTATGGAGGCACAGGTTTCATAACTGGTAGAGGTTTCATCTTACCCGAAATGGAATAAAAGACTGTTTGTCTTATGGTCAGAAATTCCTCCGTGAAAAGTTGTTTCATGACTTATTAGGTAAGAGTTCATGAGGGACTGATGCTGAGGGGTTTGTCAGTCTGTCAGTTATGTTGAATAAGTGCAAGCATTATTCTTTTTCATATGTAGCAGACATATGCCACATCTGGGTAAAATAGACCCAAAAGAGGGCACAGCTGGTCAGGCATTCAGGCATGAAGAAAAGGGGACTCGGGAGGTTGCCATATGAAACCAGCTGGGTTGCAATATGTTTGTTAGGAAACTGACAAGGCTTCAAACGATGCCTAATAGAGCCTGCCATAAGTCATTTTGAAGTATCATGTCAGCCTAATGAGGTACTTTGTTTTCTAAATAGTGATACCCCCCCACCCCCATATGAACTGGCAGTAATTAACTACAGTCTTCTGTTTAAGTACAATTCAAAGCTACATGTATTTACATTTCTTGCTAGTTAATAATTCTGTCAGATGTAAGAGATCATTTATATCCCTTTTACACTTCTAGATATTTTTGTAATATTAGTACACACAATACGATATATTACAACATTACATAACAAAATATCATGTCATATCATATAAAAATATAATGATATAAGGAACTTTTACAATGCAATGAAGGTTCAACATCTGGTTGCGAATCCTTTTGGCTTGAGACTCCCTAAAAACACATCTTTTGTTGAGGTCTCTTTTGACAATTTTAGATATCAATGAGTTCAACCATGGTTTCAAATGTTCCCTCTAAAGTTCTCCTCCGATTTTGTTTAATGGCCGCACAATTATTCAAGTTGTTATAAAACGGTGAAAGATAACTTGTATTTTTACTTACAGGAGGTCCTGGTTCCCCACCTGGTCCAGGTTGGCTCTAAAGACAACAGGAAACCACACAAAACAGTGTCAAGCTTTAGACTAATCTTACACAATTAAACAATGGTAGCATCATCAGGGCATGAAATGAGATCACATTACCACATTATGGTATATTCATGGTATAATCTGTAGAATATGTTAAAATGTTTACATTATATCTTAATTTATAAAAATTTGACTGTTATGTTATATTTTTTTGTTGAGTACTTACATTTCCTCAAATATTTCCAGCAGTTATCAAAGCCAGCTAAAACCTTAATTTGATATTTGTAACGGGACGACCGCCACAGCAAGACACAACATTTTCCATGTTTACCATTGCCATGGAAACACCTGATGTTTTGTCAAAGACTGCTGCATAAGGAAGCAGGAATTGCTACTGAAAGCTGCCGTACTGTTGCTGTATGCGCTGCTGTGATAGAAACTAAATGTAAATTATATTGGATACATCTTCGGTAATCATATTCTCTTCCTCAGGTCTGTTTCACCCGTTCATCGTGACTATGGTCTAGTCAGCGTTTTTCAGGAGTTTTCTGCAAGTTTGAAAGCCCTAATACTGTTTGTTTAGAGGTGAAATAATAAAAGGACTTTAGAAAGGTATCTTAATGGAGATAGCAAATAGTGTACATATTCATATGGGTTTTGTGTCATGCTCAACATCCTGATGAAATGATAATGGGAACATGAACCTGAGGACATTTTGTTGTAAATCTGACTGTTGTGAAATATGAATATGAAAGCCCAGTAAAGAACACCATTACAGGGGATATATATTTTAAATGAAGGTTATTGACAGACTATGATTGTCAACATTGTTTCTTAAGGTCTTTTCAGGTAGTCACTCACCTTGGGGCCAGGGCTTCCAACGGGACCTCGATCCCCCTTTGCTCCGATCAAACCCTGGAGACAGACAGAGAGAAAGGCTTTTTAGGCTGATATGCTTTACATGTGTAAAGAGGTCAAAAAGTAAAGGTAATAGAGGAAGTTATCGGCCTCCCACAGGCTACATTTGACTTGAATCCTTTTACAGGCCTAATCACACATTTGATCGAAGTTGACACTGTTCCTGGAGGTAATTGGGAAACAAAACTGAGGTTGAGATTCCAGGGCGGATTACTGGATAAATCTCTGAGGAATGCATGTGAGTGTGTGTATGTGAGAGCTAGCATGTGACACTTCCTTATCCTCAAACATGAACTGAAGGACCGGCTGTTATCATTCTAATTAAACACAAAGAGGCTTCACCAGATTTAACATCATGTAAACTGGGAGCTTAAGTATAGAAAAGCTGTCAAAATCTTTTCAAATGATCAGTCTTTCCCCAAAAACTCCCTTCCTTACGAAAAGATTTACAAGGGTTAAATCAACAAGGGATAAGAGGTTTAACTTAAGTGCATTAAGCTAATCACATTTTTCCTGAAAAACACATGTGTATGGCTGTGTTGACAATAAAGCAATAGCTACAGCACCAGGGTTCATTGCTACAGAGTTATGGGAACATTTCTGACATTGCGAAATTAAGACCCAAACCACTGAGAGACATTATGAATAATTGAATTTGAAAATTAATTAAATACAAACAAATACAGCAGCGAATTGTAACTTATTGACCTTGTTTGATTTAAAATCATCCATTTGGAAAGTTCCAATCAAACAGAATATGAAGAACAAGCAACGGAAAGTTTGACACTAATGGATTAATATGACTTTAAGGTAATCTTTGGCGTCATTTTTTTTATTTAATTTTTTTTCATACTTTATTAATCCCAAGGGGAAATTCAGGTTTTTACACTCTGTTATTGAGAGACACGCTTCTCACACACATAGGCCCAAATGGACATGCTTTAATGGAGAGATGTCACAGTGAGGCTGCTACACAGCCACACAGGGAGCATGCGACGGAGCTGTTGGGTGTTTGGTGCCTTGCTCAAGGGCACCTCGGCAATACTCGAAGATGTTATTATAAAAAAAATATATTATAAAGAATTGACTTATCGAGGCCATGTCTTTTGAAAAACTGAGTAGGCACCTTTAAATTTTAGGACTGGTAAACAGTGATAAGTAAATGTCCAAGTTCTAGATGTACAAAAGTTAAATCTTAAGAGCCAGAAATATTACATGTTATCTATAACAACTGGGCACACTTAAGTGCAGATAGGACTAAAACAAGGTTGAATACTCAGAAAAGGCTAGTTCTGTAATTTGACCTATAGTTGGAATTGTTCAGTCAAATCTCCAAATTGGTGAGGAGGTTTGTTTCTCTTACAAGCCCTTTGCTGTCAGTAAGAATGAATAACACATGGGGTTCCAAACTCATGGCATACATTTGCATCCTAATGCTTGGATCCCATAATAAAACAACATAAAACTTGCTAATCAAGACTCACTCTACAGCACCACTGGTTGCCAAAAGTGCTACAGGTTGCCTTAGAGTATTTTCCTCATCATGCATTTAAATGCTGGGTTGATTTTCTTTTCAGTGTCATATTTTCTTTAACGAGAACTCAAAGTCATTTCTTATTTACTTAAATTTAAAGTTAAAGTATTCTTATAAATGTTAGTTTTCCTTGCATATTTTACTTGTCCTGTAAACTGGCTAAAAACACAACTATAAACTCAAAAATGTAAATTCAAATTGAAGAAATGATCGCTAAGACACATAAATGGCTGTTTTTTCCACAATGTGTTTCTTAAGAAAAGTACACTCTGTCCATTGATCCCATATAGCTAGTCCTTGGGACTCTTTTCATAGTTTTTTTATCTTTTATTTCTCCAGTTTAACTTATAAAGCTGTTTTCATGTGAAGCTATACCAACTGCTTCTCTGGGCAATCTGTTGTGGATGTCATTTTATTGTGATTTCAGTCATCAGTCGGTTTACTTACATCAATGCCATTCTCTCCTGGTGCTCCATCAGGACCTGCCTCTCCTGGCTCTCCCTTTTGTCCCTACAATAAAAACAGATACATTTTTATGGACAAAACCAATAGTACAAAGTTACAAATAAAAGTTTTGTATCTAAAATTCTAACAAGCAATATAGCACAAACTTACTGGTGAACCCGGGGGGCCAGGAGGTCCTTTATCTCCCTGCAGAGACGAAGATGGAAGACGTTAAACTTTTTTTCTTTTGCATTTGTTATTTTGACCTTTCATTTTAGTGTGACACTTGACAGCAAAAACAACATCATCTTTAGAGTCATTAATGGAACTCATACAATTTCTGTTTTTTTTTCTTCTGTTTCTGTCTAGTTCAACCAATTACCTTGATTGTATATTAATGAGAGAGCTGCATGTTTCACATCACAATACAATAAAAAATGTAATATTTGCTTTTCCGATTTATTCTATTTCTAGTGTTGGAACGTTCTTACCTGATGTATCAAACCATGTTTAACAAAAAATTTAAATGAATATATTAAAAAACAAAAATAGTTGAACAAGTTGACAGGACTATGTGTTATCAATAAGATTAAAGATAGGAGTGTTAAATATGCAATTTGGTTAATTAAACTGTATATTAAACTTAGAAATAATAATAACTGAAGATAATCATATATGACTTTAGAAACAACAAAAAGTACAACCTGCAGTTCTACAAAATACCAGTTTGGGTAGTGACACCATTAGGCAATCAAAAAGTTAGTGTAAATTTTGAGTAAATATACCACAGAAAAAGTTTCTTTTAATATTGTTATGATGACTCTGCATTAAAATACATTGTAACATTAATATTGTGTTCTACAAACAGGCACGGACACATTTATTAAATAAGCAACCACAACAACCTCTAAATCCCAGCTTTCCTCTGGCTGAGACCCAAAAGTCAAAAGTAACAGTGTAGAGATTGGAGGGAGGATCTATCTTCATATATGGACTAAACAACACACCTTTCCCCCCTCCTTAATGGGTGGTGTTAATGCACTACCTCTTCACAGCTGCGTTCTGGTGACAATCTAATGCTGTGAACTTACTGTGACTCAACAATTTTTCACTTAATAGCTTAAACATATTTGCTGATCGTAACAGATCAAAATATTTAACACATTTTTGGGGTGATTTTTGATGTTGATTTTGGAACAGACAAAACATATCCCCCATGTGCATGCTCATACAAACAGTTTGTTTCCTGCTCCACACACCCACAAGACTCCATTTCAATATAGGCCTACTTGTACAACCTGTGTGTAGTTAACCCTGAAAATATCTCAAATGTATCACATTACTGTGACACATGCAGGACTGAGGAGAGGGTCCCCTTCTCAAAGACCCCTCTCTCTGCAAGGAACAGAGTTCTTTTGTGCCTCTGTGTTTTCATTTGCAGTGCCCTCTGATGGCAAGACTGTGGTACTGCAGTGTTGGTATTTCTCCAGCACAATGATGCTCTTTGTGACAAATCTGCTGGGCAAACCTGTGTGGATACTCACATCAATGCCATCTGATCCAGGGGTGCCAGAAGGGCCTGCTGGGCCGGGCTGGCCCTGGGGTCCAGGTGGACCCCTCTGAAACACAGAAAAGGGAAATAAATGAAACACTACAGTATACCATAAGCAATTATTATAACACTGGACATACATCAGAGCTGTAATTTGAAGGGGAAAACAATGCTGATTTAGTAGCTGATGAAGCCAAAACAAAACCAAACAAGCTCAAGGTGATATTTGTAAAACTAATTTAATACTTTAACTTGTAATTAGTTCAAACTGGTTGTTAACAATATTAGGTTTAGTTCTGATGGGACGCTAGGTAAACCTAAATCCTATTGGTCAATACACGTGTTACAACATTGAGTCTATTAGATATCAGCTTTTACAAAAGTGACACAGAAAATCAGGATAAACTGGATCAAAAAGAATAAAATCAGTAAAGGAGAGGAGTAAAAACAAAGGCTTGTGGAGGAATGTGAAAGGAGGGGTCATGAGACTGGCACTGTTTGCCCTCAACCCCCCCCCCCCCCCCCCGTCACTGGATCCCAATGCCTCCATATGCTTTCTTCAATTTCACCTCAGTTGCTCAGACAGTCCATCAGGGGACAAAAACTGTTATTGATCCTACTTTGTAAAAAAAAAAAAAATCAAAATCAAAAATACAATCCTTTAGAGGGAAGACTGTACGCAGTCCAGTAGATAACATGTAGGTGTGTGTTTGAACAGCGACTTTCACGCTCACTGGGCAAAGTTTGTGTGTGCAGTGTGTGTGTGTGGTTGTCTGTGTGTCAAAGCCCACTGATTTCCAGATTCCCCATATCTGTCAGGACTCCACACAGGGGAAAAAAAGAAAAATATTTTCTTCTGTTCTAATAAAAATCTTCTCATTCTAAAAAAAAAGTGTGCCCATGTAATGAGAACTCCTGCCTTCAACAGTAGCTCCTCGGTCAAATCTTCAAGAGTCCGTACACGATAAGGATGATAATCCACAGACGATGGTATAGCATCATTTTCTTTCCACGGCAAAAAAACAACAACTTTAAAGTCATTTTTCTTTTACATGCATGCGATTAAACCAGATGGTAGACACAGTTTTTGTCGTTCCACCTGCAGCATCAGGATGACTTCAAGTAGCATCAAAACCTATTACACCACCTCAAGACATCCAGTGGCCCTTTCCCAGGGGTCCTTATCCCCTCTCAACCCCAGAATAAAGCAACTAATCCCGCACAGAGCAGGTCTCAGCCTCCCCCTTGTCCACTCACCACTTGGGCCAGAGCCAGGCACAGGGTCTGCAGTATCACCCAGGTCTTCAGCAAGGCAGAGAGAGCAGCCATGGTCCCTCTCCCCTGTCCGTCTCTCCTCGGTTCACCAAATCCTCTCTTCTGGCTCCTGTTTCCGCTCCCTTACTCCTCTGCAGGCCGGCACAGTGCGGAAAACTGGTGGAGCAAAGCTGTCTGAGAGGCAGGAGCGGTGGGGGGGGTTTGGGGTGGGGTGGGGGGGGATGTGTGCACTGCCCCGAAAAATCCACTCAGGAGGAAGGAGGGAGCTGGAAGCTGAGAGGGGGAAGGAGGTGGAAGAGGACAGAGGTAGAGGTGTAATCCTCCCCCCACAGACGGCCTCTGAAAGCACAAGAAAAGTACACACACACAAACACACACTAAATTTAGTTCCAGACACAGTTCCTCAAAACACCTTTAGTGATTTTCTGTAGTGATCTACTGAATATGAAATCAACAGGCGGTTTCTGATTGGATACTCTGTGAATGAAATGCATATTTTGTTCACACTCGACAGCCAATTGGACAATAAGCTCCACCCACAACTGCAGGAGAGGACCAATGAATGAAACCTGAGTATAAAACTATGTAACACATATCAACACAGGCCTTTGAGTATGTCTCAGCTTTTGCGTCTATCTCACTGCAAAAAAATATATATATTTTTCAAAAAAAAAAATTTCTAAGTGTCACTTTTCCAAAAATTTTAATATATATATATTTTTTTATATCCTAAGGCTACCATTAGCACATCTGTGTAAATATCCCTAAACATTCCCCAGGTCAGCATTGAAGGTCAAAGGTATAATAACCGGCTAACTCCTTATAGGATATCCGTTATTTAAATCAGGAAATAGGTGAAGGAGAAGGGTATAGTATTCACTGCATCAACAAAAACCATAACCATTAGAGCTCTTGTACAAATGAGACAAAGCAAAACCTTACTCAAACCCCCTCCCTACTGACTGTTTGGAAGGCCCATGCTTTCTGGGTCATTTACTGACATCTAGTGGTCATTTTGATAAGAGCAGTTAGTTCCCACACTAATCCAATTGGTCTTTAAAGGCTGAGCCAAAAAAGAAAAAAAAGAAAAGAAAAAAGAAACTCATTAAAATGGGAAAAAGACCCTACAGTGACCCCTATTGTACAGACACTACATCACACCAAATACAGCAATCACCTGTGCGGCCACTAGATGGGAGCAGATACACATAAACAAGTACCAGACAACAGAGCTAACTTGTTGCTATGGAGGCTTTCGATGTTGTCACTACATACTGTACATTTGAAGATGCAGAGTGGTTGGAATTATTAAGAAATTGAGATGTATTGCACACAACAGGAACTCTCAACAGACCACATTATATAAATTAGGACCAGCTCAGTGGTGGCTTGGATTCTGAATTTTTTTGCACATATTTGCAACTACATTCATCACACTTAAACTCAAAATGTTTTTTTTGCCTTTTTCATACTATGCACACAAAATATAGAACTATTGTTTTTCATCAAGTAAACTTTCTTTTTCATAAAAAAAAATGCAATGTACTCAGCACATATAAGCCAGTTTAGCTGTCCTTTGTTCATCAATAGAACAACATCCACCTCAGTTTTCTCATCTAAGAGTCTTCGCACATCCAACGACTTGTACTCGTAGACTTGCTCTTGTCTAGAGTACAATAATGCAACAGAATTTGAAAAGTGATGCAATCTTTGACAGTGAAAGCTTTGGTTTACACATACGGGGAATTTGACTTGCTGGTGTAAGAACAATGAACACAGAAGTGGAATGAAAATGTGCAAAGCTGTTAAAAAGCAGCATTCCCACTGTCAAGGAACTGAAGTATAATAGGATCAAACAAAATAGTGAAAAATATATAAATATGTACAGTATTTGTACTGTAAGAGATGGAAACCATTATGTATCTTGTTCCTGATATTTCTTTTTTTTATCTGTTAAGTGTCTGCATAAGCTCTAAATGAAAATGGGTTGATCATGTAGAACAGATGTTGTGTTTTCAGCAATAGCAATTAAAAAGAGCCCATTGAAATGACATCATGAGCATGCATTGTTAATAGTCTTCAAATTAATTATGCTTGAGTGAACTGTGGAGCTCTTTCCTCAATTGTAAATCTGCTTATTCTGCGCAAACAAGTGTTTTCAAGTGCAGCAATGTCATCTAGTTGTGCAAATCCAAGTGACGAAATAGTGTCTCCTAGGAATTCTGAGTCACTTCCTGAAGGCAGTTTGAAATTGCAACATCAAGGAAGGGCTTGGTTTAGATCCCATTAGCCCTTTCAAGCAGTTAGATGCAAGTTGATGTAAGAAATGTAAAAAGCTTGAGTGGGTTTTAGAGTTTTATGTTGACAGGGGAAGGCTAACTGTTGCCAAAATGTTCAGTCTTATGCTAAGCTAAGCTAACTGGCAATAAAACCTGGCTCTAGCTGTATTAAACAAACACAGGCGCTTCCAATCATGGAAAACAAAACTCTGAGGGAACAAAAAGGCAGACACATGGAAACTGCCTTTATCAGTTCTGTCAGGTCACCTTCAATGATTGAACAGTCTTTCGCGTAGCTGTCAGACACATCCACTGAGCCCGGCTTACGTGTGCAGCTGCAAAAAAATCTGTCACAGTGCATCCATCTTGTTTGATTAAGCATTTTCAAGTCAAAATCCCTGACAGAAAACTGCATGAAACAATGTAGGAGCACAAGCGGAGTGAATTCCAGAAAATTGAGAGCTCAAATGCATTGAAATCCTTCAATATACAAAAAAACCACAAAAAAACACTGTGCTGAGCTTCTCACGGAGGAAAACTGAAAGGAATCATCATCCAGTTGTTGTCTTTCTCAATATAAGGCATTCCCCTGCCTCCTCAAACTTCAAAAAAACAGACAAGGAAAACACTGGCCTCCCCCTATCCCTCAGAATCCTTACCTCTCTGTCTCTTTCTCCCTGCTCATGATTAAATTGTCAGGCGGGGATTTGATTTGAAAGGTTTTGTTTTCATATGAAAGCAATCACATCGTGTTTCATGACTTAATAGCATACTTATCGTAGCTTAGTGACACATGAGTGATGCAAACAAATGCACAAAGCAGAACAAAGCATGCACACACATGCATGCTCAAGCATTTAAGTAGTGGCTAGTTAAAAAATTATGATTGACCAGGGAGGGTTTTTTTGTTCTGCAAGTCTTTATTCCCCCATTTTTTCCTGAAAAAGATTTGTTTCACACAGACAAGCTGCGTCCATTCCCTCACTGTAATAAGACGCCTGAGAGAAGGGGAGAATGGAAGTCATCATTAAGGGCAAAGACAGGAAGACACATAAAAACACCCCCATCCCATGATGATGACAGACAGGACAAATATTATTCTTGAGTGCAGGTGTGAGGAGTAGCGGCAAAGCGATAACAGAGGTCATTAACAACTCAGCAGGGTATGAGGCCGGCCCCGAGGCTTCGTTCTGTTTCAGACCTTTAGAGTCAGAGGGGAGGGAGGAGAGGCACACACGGCAGGCTGATGATATACATGCTGAGGATATCACTCTGTCTGGAATGAAACATATTCAGAAGGGTGTGTTTCCTTGTCATTCTCTCGGTGTGAAACTCGCACTTGTCAGTCTGAGGCTTAAGCTTCTTTGACATGCAAGATGATTGGGGAATTGAGCAGATGAAGACAGTTTCTGGTGAGATTTGTACATTGGCTGACAAGGGGAAAGCTTATTAATTACCACCAAAAGATTTTCATTGGGAGAAATGAGCTGCAAATTCACAATCAAAACATTCAGAAAACACATTCAAGCAATGAGAAGTTGCTGAAAAGGAAAGTAAAGTGCTTCAGAAAGCCAAGGGAAATACTTTGAAACAAGCAGCAAACATATAGAGGATTTTTGGAATGGCCCAAGATGGTGTTTTACTATTACTCTTATGATTGAAGACACCTGGCCTGTAGGGCATTTCCACATAGGAGGGCTCCACCTTAGTTTGGTTTTGAGCTAATTCTTGTTGCCCCTTTGTCACCCTAGCAAAGTCTGCCCGTCAAAGTGGTAAAGCATGTTCACTTTTTGCTCACCTAAAAGTACTGTGGATTAAAATGGACCAGATGTTAAACTTCGATCTGTATTAAAATGTCTTGGCAACTATTTGGTAAAAAACTAAATATTTTATGGATAAATCCCCTTTTCTTTGGAAGGACTGGCTGGAAAAGGGATTGTCAGCAACAATGGTGTATAGTGAAATCTTGTGAAGACCTACGACAACATTAAGGCATTGTGCAGCACTCATTTTTTTAGGTACCTTAGCCTTAAACTATTGGGAATTTTTGATCCAGAACATCAGCTCTTCTTTGATCGAGTATTGATGTGCTATGAGACAGGCCATGAGTCATCTGTGTATTATTCCATGATGTTGCATGCCTTTAGGTTAAGTTACATTTGTTTTAGATAACTCTAGATGTTTTTGAATTCCCATAAATTTGCTACTTGTTTCTCCACAGGGTAATTCTTTGGGTCCGTTCAGCGTTAATCCAGTATTTTGCTTTTATATATTTATATATATATCTGACAGTGCAGTACTGAAAAGAATGTGCACATGTGTGGGGCATCAAGACAGATAAGTGTTAACACATGCCTTTAGACTTTTCTCACCTCTTTGTTCCCTGACTTCAATGTAAGAGGACATGTGAGATTTTCATCCATTTTCACACTTCCCCCAGCGTAACCACTTTTAAGGAACCATACTTTAGGTGCATTGACAATGTCAGAGAGAGTCTTATCAGGCTTCTCACTGAGCCCGCTACCTGATCTGAACCTGATGTAGTGGCGAGCCCCAGCTGTACAGTGAGAACTGACCCAGAGTCCCAGGCTGACAAAGCGACGGCTGCAGCAGGGATGAGAAAACACAGCGTTTAGCAGCTGCTGACCCCAGTCTGGGCTTGGTGAGGTGTTTCTAGGCAACAAGGCATGGCACACATCACATGCTGGGCCAAAGCCCTGCGTAGCACTACGTGTACACCACTACAGTAGATAAGAGAAATAGGGGATTGTTGTA